ACAAACCAAGTGCTGCCTTCCTTGAATCCCATTGATCTTTACATAGCTCCGGGCCGAAGCTAACCTATTGGTCCAGAAGATTCCTGTACATAGGCTTTCAGCAATAAATTCGTTTCCTTGGCCATTCACGTGTGCCTCTGGCCTTTCCCCTTCTTCCAGACTTATGGCGGGAAGAACATGAAACGGGTGGGCACCATCCTCCAACAAGGCATCCTGATTCTTCTCCTCTGCTGTTTCCCGTGCTGGGCATTTTTCATCAATACAGAACAGCTTCTGTTGCTAATCCGGCAGGATCCGGAAGTTTCCAGGTGAGAAAGGAGATCAAGGGAGGTACTAATGCCACTCTACAAGGACTTAGGAAGACCACATTTAGACTACCTCCAGAGCCACGGCCACCAAATTTTTTAACAACCAGTTCTGCGGCCGTGGCTAGGTGGGCGTGGCCATGTGACTGGGTGGGAGTGGCTTTTTTTGGCAGCACGTTCCCCTCCCTCCATTTTTTGGGGCCTTCTGGGTCTCAGGGAAGCCTCCTGAGGGGAATTTTTGCTCCCACGAGACTTCCCTGGGGCCCGGGAAGGCAAAAAACAGAGCCTCGGGGGTCCATGCAGCAGCACCCCCGCAAGGCTCTGTTTTTGGGCCTCCTGGGCCTCAGGGAAGCTTCCTAGGCGAAGTAGTAAGACAGTGAGGAGGGTCTGCATGCACGATAAGGACTGACTGGGCGAGGAAGGGAGGGGTGGGCGGAGAGGGGCGGGGCCAGCCAGGGTCACGATTTGCTGGTTCTCCAAACCGCGCAGAATCATAACAACCGGTTCTATACAACCGGTCCAAACCGGGAAAATCCCACCCCCTGAGAATATCCATTCCAAATTCACATCAAGTAAGATTATTTGTTAAAAATTCATAATTGGCATCGGTCGGGAACATCATTCAAAATTCACATTAATGAAGAAAATCACTGAACATTTCAAATCAAGAAACGGCAGCCCTTCAAAACTCACATCAATTAAGAAACCGTCCAAGGTTCAGATCTATAATGGACATCTGTTCAAAATTCACCTCAGTTCAGAGTGTCATTCATAATTCACACCAATTGGGGGAAAAAAATCACTCAAAATTCAAATCGGTCAAGAATATCCGTTCAAAATTCACGTGAATTAAGAACGTTCATTCAAAATGGACATCAAGTAAGAACATCAAAATTAAAATCATGAGGGGCCCTTGGTGCTCTCTGACCTTGCTTGGTTTCTTGCAGACGTTTCATTACCTAACTAGGTAACATCATCAGTGCTAGCAAGGAATGGAGCTTGCTGTCAATTTGCTTTGGCTTCTTTCGCAATTCCTTGATTGTTTACTTGATTGTTGATCTGTTCTTAACCTTGGAGTTAATTTATGTTGATCTGGATGCTGATTTATGGTGGAATGTCATCCCCGCCCCCCCTCCGTGCTCTTTTGGGCTCTTTTGCATAGCCTTTAAAAAACGTAGCCCCAAAATGAACAAAAAGACCCAAGCACCTCCTTACTTCTTACTAGCACTGATGATGTTACCTAGTTTGGTAATGAAACGTCTGCAAGAAAACCAACAAGCTCAGAGAGCACCAAGGACTCCAATGGTTCAACCCAAGCTACAAATATTCTCCTTTGTAAGTGAACATCAATTAAGACCTTTCAAAATGAAAATCGGTAAAGAGCATCCATTCAAAATGTCTCGTCTTTCACGAAGTCAGATCACCCCTCATAAGATTTACCACAAAATGGGACCTTTTGAATTTAATAGAGAAGACTTCATCTTTTTTAGGAAAAAAACAGTTTCTTTTATTTATTCTTCAAAGTTTGAGGGATGTCACAAGATAGGCCTTCTTCAAAAAGCTTACTTTAGCTCACAATGTGATGCCGGAAGAGGCTACATCAAAGCACGTGAGATTTTTAAGGCAGCCATGAATATGACGGCAGAATCGGATCATTGGAAATTAATGCCTTTTTTTTTTTGTCTTCCCAGGCTCACTCAGGTTTATGTCATGATCTTTATCCCAGCACTGCCTGTAAGTTTCCATCTTTTCCTACATTGAGTCAGGGAAGAGTGAATAGCTTCCCTTCCAATATCTATTTATCTGTCTGTCTGTCTGTCCATCCATCCATCCATCATTTCTCTCTCAATCTCTCTCTATTATCATCTATCTATCCATCTATGATCACTTTCTCAATCTTGCTATACCTATTTATCTATCCATCCATCCATCTACAATCTCTCTCTCTATCATCCATCCATCCATCCTCTCTCTCAATCTCTATCATCCATCCATCCATCTATCCTCTCTCTCTCAATCTCTCTATCATCCATCCATCCATTTATCCTCTCTCTCAATCTCTCTCTATCATCCATCCATCCATCCTCTCTCTCAATCTCTCTCT